AGGTTATGGATATTTTCTTTACTTCGTGGATTTTTCAAAATGGCGAGATGTAGTAATCACACACAGTGTATATCATCGCTGGAAAAAATAAGAAAACCTTAACATCATCTAGAACATACTAAACTTGCTACTTCAACGCCATCGACTTCCTCAAATATTAAATAACCAATAAATCAAAAAAAAAGTTTCTACGTCTCCGAATTATTTTACACAACGATGGTTCTCTACAGGTAAAACAGAATGAGATATACTTTATGTTTGACAAACTTTCGAATAAAAAAAAAAACAGTTGGAAATACCCGTTAAAAGTCTCGAATCAATCGAAACCCGCCTGGCTGTCGCAATTCTTCCGGAATGAATGGAGTTCGTTGTTAAAAATTTCACGGAGTAAAGCGTTCGTTTGACGTTGGTTAATCAACACGGGGCGACACCTGACCGGTGATGCGTCCCTGGGGCGCTTTTTCCTCGAGAAATTCTCTGAAATTCTCGAGGTAGACGGTGCACCTTGCACCATAAAGTCGGGACTCGTCGAATCGGTATGTTATGTACGGGTTGTGGCAATGTAATGCGGCACAGTAAGGTATGGTGCGTAAGACAGATGTTGGCCGAGAGGGAAAGAGAAGAGGAGGGAAAAGGGGGACGAACGACGGGGTGGGGAGAGGTGGTTCGTTTCGTTGAAACCAATGCCACAATCTTGACGAGGAGCACCATGTTACTATCATTAGTCACTTGGCGATATCTTTTGCAAAAGATCTTAACGTTTTGATTTCCTACCAATTTTAAGCGGATTATTGCTCGCGAACGACGAACCGACGACGATCGGCTTTATTTTCTGCGAAAATTAATATGTCATCGACCCTCCATTCGTTTCTTCGATTTATCGAGCTTCGTTTGCGGATATTCATGCGGATACACACACACACACACGAATACAACGTGATATATCCTTGATATAATTACCATTTTACGTGTAGTCACGTTGTTACGTTATAATCGAACGTGTGTTGTTTCAAGGTGCACCTACATGGGAAAAAATATCACGGCATTTCCTGTAATTTTAGAGTAACATTCAAACTGTAATCTGATCGTACAGGTGTACCGTGTACAATTTCAACGTCGAACGTCTTTTTTTTTACGTTAGATAGCACGAGATAAACGATTATTAATAAATTTCATCGTATTTAGAAAGCTTAGAGAGGTTAGAAAGAAAGTGTATTGGTTAATTTTATGTTGATGATTGACACTTTAATTAAAATTTCTCTATGTTTTTAGTATTTAATGTTTAGTAT